CATCAGGGGCCTCTGAAGTGCGGGTGGAGGGGCCGTCAAATGCAGTGCTCACTTTGATCCCAGCCTTGATGTCTCAAGTTCAACACAGACGAGCCAGCCAGGGCCATCTGGTCCCACGCACACTCCCAGGAGGGAAGACTCCATGCAAGTCCTTGGCAGCCAGCTGCAGCAGACGGTACTTGCTGGGACTGACAAGAAGGAGCCTTTAATAAGACAATCATCCCTGCGTCCCCTGTTCAATTTAGACATCTGCGTTACAGGCAACAGGCTTTGGAGGGACAGACAGACACAGATCAGCTCTTTCATCAAAATGATATGTAGAGAATAAAAAAATAGGAGCCATAAAAGTACTACTCCAACAAGCTATAATAATAAGAGAATTTTAGAGAGAGCTACATTGGCCTAGTGGACAGAAAGTTATGCTACGAAGCCCAAGGTGGGTGATTTTAATCTGCACCGGGTTCAAATTGTTTTCCTGTCAAACACTCTTCTACATGGTATATAGCACTGGTCTGTGAATTGCTCTACGGAGGTAACTTGTGGTTGCTGTGATGCTAAACACTGTGACACTGATGTGTCAAATGTGTTAATGGTTACTCAAAGTGGATAGTGTTTGCTGGAGCTTCCCAATTAAAACGAGCCTAGAAGCAGGAGCGGCATCCACTTCTGAAATGGCTTGCCTCCGGAAACTCGATGAACAGTGCTCAGGCCTTTCGTTCATAGGGTTGCTATGAGTCATCTACAACTCGACAGCACCTAACAACAAGAAAGCACAAAACTAGGTCACTATAGCTAGATCCAAGATGATGGTGGAGGCAGAGACAGCATGGTGAGCTGCGGGAGCAGCGTGCCACTTAAAGCAGGGCCATTATGGCCTTCCACAGACTTCGGCTTATTGATAATTGAACACTTAAACAGTTGATGACTGGCCCTCGGTGAAGATCGAGGCCCAACAACAGGAATTCAAGGATTCCCAAAGAGAAATGGGTGAGTCTCCTGGCTCCCAAAGCCCTCCCGCAGAGACCGTGCCGCGCTGCGCCGCACAGCCGCTGCAGCTCCATGAGGCTTCCACAGCCAGAA